ATCTCAGCTCACTGCAAGCTCCGCCTCCCGGGTTCCCGCCATTCTCCTGCCTCAGCCTCCCGAGTAGCTGGGACTACAGGCGCCCGCCACCTCGCCCGGCTAGTTTTTTGTATTTTTTAGTAGAGTCGGAGTTTCACCGTGTCAGCCAGGATGGTCTCGATCTCCTGACCTCGTGATCCGCCCGTCTCGGCCTCCCAAAGTGCTGGGATTACAGGCTTGCAACTAATCTTTAAGGAGTTATAATCAGTTGTGGAGTTTCAGTGTAACAACAAAAGATATCCACAATTAGCTGCAAAGACTATTAAAATAGTCCTTTTTTCCAAAAACATATAATGTAAGGTGAGATATAAAACAAGTTTAGCCACTCCATTGATTAACTTTATTTTGTTGTGGAAAATGTAGTTGTTTCTCATAAAATATGTTGCTTATGTTAACTTGTGATATGTTTATTATTGATATAATAAATGAATCAATAAATATTTCTAAAATTTCTGTTTTACTTTCTAGTGTGGCATATACCGATATATCCCACATAAATAAAAGCTTTTTAAGATCTTCATAATTTATAAGAACATAAAGAGTTTCTGAGTCCAAAACTTTTGAGAACTGCTGCCTTAAGAACAGTGTGAAAACTTCTTCTTTTGAGCAGTACTATTCTCAGAGATGGATGATAAACCTTGATCAGTTCTTCCTAATCTTTTCCTCTTTTGCCAGCTAGACCTAAAGTCCAGCAATTACTAAATGCCCCTGATTTATTTCCCATAAATATATATTCCTGTGATGCCTTTCTAAGTAGAGTTTAGTCACCTTGATTAGATTTTCAGACTTGTTGGCCTCCATGATTCCATTTGGCAATGAGCCAAGTCACTCCCCTCAGTTGCATATTTACAAACCAGCTCCTAGACAGAAATTACTAAATAAAGTGTCAGCTGCTGGACTCTGCCAATTTCAGAAGACAAGCTCATTCCTTGTACTTTTTTTATACCAAATATTCCACTCAATATCTTTCTGATGATGGGATAGAAATTTTTACAAAGGGCTAAAGAAACAATAGACAGTGTTAAAAACAATTGAACAAATAAAAGGGGGCTAATATTTGTTTAGCATTTGCTCTAAGCCAAATACTATTATATATGTTACTGCATTTAATTCTCCCAACAACTCTGTGAGATGAATATTATTATTCCCATTTTACAGATGAGAAGAGCAGGGTTGGATAACTGTTATACAGTAGAGGAGGGATGAAACCCAGGCCTCAGTGACTCCTAAGACAGAGGAGCAATAGTCAGACAATCTGGGTTGTGTCATATACTTTATAGTGGTATTTTACGGATATGGGGGGTGAAAACCCTTCATATAAGCCTTCAGAATTGCCTCAGACCAGTGATCTCAGTGTGGTCCCTGGACCAGCAGCATCAGCATCCCTAAGAACTTGCCAAAGTACAGATTCCTAGGCCTCACTTCAAATCTGCTAAATCAGATACTTTGTAGGTGGGGCCCAGTAATCTGTGTATTATCAAGCCTTCCAGGGGATTCTGATGCACACTTAAGTTGGAGAACCACTAAAACAAGCTTGTGTTTGTCCAACCCGTGGCCCATGGACCACATGCGGCCCAGGACAGCTTTGAATGTGGCCCAACACAAATTTGTAAACTTTCTTAAAACATTATGAGTGTTTTTGCAATTGTTTTATTGTTAGTTCCTCAGTTACCATTAGTATTAGTGTATTTTATGTGTGGCCCAAGATAATTCTTCTAATGTGGCCCAGGGAAGCGAGAAGATTGGACATTCTTGCACTAAAGTATGCCAACACAGCCTCAGGAAGCCAGGGCAAGGGGCAGACCAACTAAACAGCTACTGGGGTTGCCAATCTATAAGGGTGCTAAAATTCCACAGAAGTTAATCAGAAATATTTTGGCAGTTAACTTAAATCTCCTCTTCTCTAGGGAAAGTAAATTGGTCTCATTCCTATTCCATGCAGGTAATAAATTTCCTATTTTGAATTTGAATATGTGACAGAAAAATAGTGTTTGTTATTTTTAATATTCTGCTGTCTTCTACAAAAGGTTGATCCTGGTAACTGGAAGAGTTTTTGCTTGCTAAACATGAGTTCTTCCACATTTGTCTAATAGCCTCTTAGCTCTCTACTCCTCCTTGACGTCTGAAGGATGAGCAGTACAGACCGACAAAACATCTTATTCATGGGTCATCTTAGATCGTATTCCCTAGAACGTAGCCTGAGATGGGGATTCTTGTGCCAGTGATTTATTGAGGACACTCTCAGCAGAAGGCAATCAAGTTGAGGTGTCAGAGAGGGGTTGGGGGAGCAGTGTGGAGAGAAGCTAAGCAAGGACGTGGTCTCAAGTGGTTACTAGCTTCAGCCTGATCCCACCCACGTGACGTTATGAGGCTGAAATTTCACCCACACACTTGGTCCTGCCTGGAGAGAAGGGAGCCAAGTTTTTATATCCCTATATCAGTCACTCATTAACTGTGGGCTACTAGTGGCCAGGCCAGGGTGAGAGTCTGACATCCTGGGCTAACAGTACTTCCTGGTGCCTGAGAGCAGCACTTTAAAGAAGGAGGCGGCTGTGAGGCATTAGCGCGCAACCCTGTCAGCAGCTGCGGGATGGACGAACCCAGGTGAAAGGCATCTGGATGGGGCACCACCAGCATCTACTACATGGATGTAATTTTAGTTGTCTGTTTGTATCTCTGGATATCAGTGTCCACTTCTGCCTAAGGTGTGAATTTTCCTCTCTATCCCTTGGCCTTATAGAGCCATAGCTCTGGACCAGCCAGCTTCCCGTTCCCCATTCAGCCTATGGGTAAATCAAATCAAGCAGCTATATGTGTAGGATCCCAGATCATTTGCAGAGGGGCATTGAACACATGAATTATCCCTCCCTATGGAATATATTTCTATACTAGGAACATTGTTGTTATTTCCTAGTTTTTTCTTTTGTGAAATGAAGGGATAGACTGGATTTTTTAAAACCCTGTTCCAGTTTTAAAATTCATTTGCCTAATAATTTTGCTCCAGAACGCAGTTGTGCTTGCATTTTCTCTGGGGATGAGTTTCACAAAAGTGTGTATTAGAGACTAAGTCTACTGTCATGGACATAAGTGAGGCACTGATAAGACTGTGAAATGTTTTAGCACCTGCCAGGGAATTCAATTCCATTTGATCTGACCATGATTCTTTTATCAATAATTGATATTAATTTTTCTGAATAATTGTTAGGGAAGAATTTCTTTAAAATATTAAAGAACTACAGGGTTAATTATCAAATACTTGTTTCAATGATTCGTGTCATATGTTTGCCACACAAAATGGACAGACGCTATCATTTTCACTATGGGGTCTTAAGGAACCTAGCAGAAACTGAGGCAAGACACCAAAACTATCACTGCATTGTATGTGTCTCATTGCCCTCAAGTATAAGATGATACTGAAAAAATTCCTGATATAAGTTGTTGATGGCAGGGTCTCCCCTACTAGACACTGATCCTTTGTATGGTTTAAAACAAAGCACCTATTCGGGTATATGAAATACTAAAAAGTGCCCCCTCTCCATGGACAACATACAAAAAAGGCGTTCCTTCCTCCTGGCTACAAGGCCTGTAAGAAGACACAAGACTTGGTAACTGAAGTGTAGACTGGGTCTCAACCTTTATTCATTTCTTTCACCTGAGACTTTTACACAAACCACAACTTGCAAGGCAGTATGTGGCATTCTTGGTTATAGGAGTCTGATCATTGTGACTTGAGTGGTTTTCTGTTATTTAATATGACCCTTTATATTTGTCAAAGGATATCAATCCTACAAGATTGCCAAGTGGCACCATGTCTCAGATTTGCCTCAATCATCTCTATATAAGACATCAGTGAGAGCTTCCAAGACGAAAAGGCTCAAAAGGAATGTGTTCTGAATACTTTCTTCATATGTAGTGCTCACTCATCTTTATCGCATGAGAAGACTTGCTATGGAATTTTGGCACTGGACCGAGGGGGCTCTGACATTTCAACTGAGGTTCTAAGGTCACTTGTATAGGAGATCTACAGTGACATTGCCATGCTGATTCTCTATGCAGATCTTTCTACCCAGGGACGCTACCAAAGTCAAGTAATTTAGCACAATCTCCAGATAGAAATATCTGATACTGAGGCTGGTTATGGTGACCCACGCCTGTAATCCCAAGCACTTTGGGAGGTCGAGGTGAGTGGATCACTTGAGCTCAGGAGTTTGAGACCAGCCTGGCTAACATGGTGAAACCCTGTCTCTACTAAAAATACAAAAATTAGCTGGTCGTGGTGGTACGTGCCTGTAGTCCCAGCTACTCGGGAGGCTGAGGCAGGAGAATTATTTGAACAGGTGGAGGCTGCAGTGAGCTGACAGCATACCACTGCACTCCAGCCTGGGTGACAAAGTGAGACCCTGTTTCAAAAAAAAAAAAGAAAAAGAAAAGAAAAAAGAAAAAAAAAAGAGAAATATCTGACATTGAATTATTTTTCTTTATTTTCTTTCTTTATTTATTTTTTTGATGGAGTCTCGCTCTGTCACCTAGGCTGGAGGGCAGTGGCGTGTTCTCAGCTCACTGCAGCTTTCACCTCCAGGGTTCAAGCGATTCTCCCACCTCAGCCTCCCGAGTAGCTGGGATTACAGGTACCCACCACCACGCCCAGCTAATTTTTGTACTTTTTTAGTAGAGATGGGGGGGTGGTTTCACCATGTTGGCCAGGCTGGTCTTGAACTCCTGACCTCTGGTGATCTGCCCACCTCGGGCTCCCAAAGTGCCAGGATTACAGGCGTGAGCCACCATGCCCAGCCCTGACACTGAATTATTTTTCTAAAGTACCTGGAAACTTATCACTGAAAACAAAAACAAAAACAAAAACTGATGACATTGAAATCATTGCAGTGTAATCACTCGTGGTTTCTACTCCCAATGTTATTGTGGAGAAATCCTGGAAGAAAAGAGCTCTTTGGCTAGTTATGTTAGGTAATAGGATTTATTATGTACACCAAAGATGTAAGGGTCATTTCTATAGTTCTCATTAGACTTTGGAGTTGTAATAGTTATACAGGAAAAGGGGTAAGAAGAAAGAGGAGATGAAAACAGCTTTGCAAAAATTAAGGGTGAATTTTCCTCCCCTATTTTCTTTTTTCCTGACAGTATAAATAATGTCTGATTAAGAGGAAAAGTTAAGAAAGCATATACATTCCTACAGAATTGGGCTGAGAATGAGGTTAAATTGTATGTACCCAATAAAGAAAGCTATAGGGCTTTTTGAGGAAAAAATGACTATATTTTGGCAAGAAAATGATTACAAGTTCTTTCCAATTGAGGGAAGAAGACTATGCTATCCATTTAATTCAAAGAATAACCAGGAATGAGACGGGACCTCGTTACTATGGGAGACCATTTGGTAAGTGGAAGGACACTTCTTTCTGTGTAGGCAATTTGAGGGTGAGCCTTCCACAATCCATATGACATCTTCTGGTTAAATCATTGTTATACTCTCTGCTGAAAGATATTCCACTGAACTCCACTCTCTTTCTAAGTGCTTCCAATAAATTACCACGGACATGAAAGTCACCTTTGACATTTACTGGAAAATTTGATTTTTTTTTTCTGTAACATTATAAGCCTCTTCCCCCCACAAAAAAAAAAAAAAAAAAAAAAAAAGTTTTATTGCATCTTCATTGCAAATCTAATTTGTAATTCATCCCTTGCTTACTCATTTAAGTCAGAGATGTGTGCTGAAGAATATCAGTCAACCAGCCTGGAAACATTTTTCTAATAGTAAATGTAGAATGTAAAGGAAATTACATTATTTTGTATTCTGTAAAATGTATAATTTTAAAAAAAAACTTCACTTATGTTATTTAACATTTTAACTAAAAAATTCAAATTATGTCATAATCATTCAGCAATACAAATGTTGGTCACCCACAAGAGAAATCTAGTTGTAATTACATTATAATAATTCAATAATGTAAATTTTTATTATCCCAAAGAAAAATTCGAGGAAAAAGATTGGCCAAAATGTTGCAAGTAGTAGATTTATGGAAATATTCAGCATATGGTGTGAGTAGATGCATGATAAACACAGACATGAAAAAAATTAAATTGCTCTTGCTGGAGAATTTGAACCTAAGAAAATGCTACTCTAGGTATCCATGGTTTTACCACTTGCTAACAAAAGCTTCTTATGGCTTGTAACAGTAAGTACTCATTACAGAGAAGAGATGCATGCTCTTGAAGAACTCCCCACTACCACATTCTCACAAGTTATTGGAAAAAACTTCAGAGTTTGGGAACAGTAATAGCTATATTTTAAGAATTGTGTTATTTGCCTCCATAAATGAATGCCTGTCTACCTCATTGGCCTGAAAATTGTACCACATCTGTAAGATGAATCATTTGGCTTTCTAGTTGGTCCTGGGGGACAGGAACGCAGCCCACAGATTTACCAGTAGCTCACTGCCTGGTAAATGTTTACTTATAAATTAGTGTGGGTGATAATTTACTCAGGTAATAAGCATAGATTACATTTAATGGCTTAGACATTATACATTATGAACACAGTATTTTATGTTGAAGTAAATGTATATGATAATATGATATCTAAATGTAACTCAGAAATTGTGAATTAGAGAGTTTAAGCAAAGTTAAGCGTGTATTACAGTGCATCAGCACTTAAAGGCTTCAGGAAAGTTTCACAATGGCAAAGCGGTATCATACAGTTCACCCATACCATGTGTTAGGGATCTGTTTATTTTTTAGATTCTCTTCTCCTTTCCCCACAAACCAACTCATTCTGTTACTGAAGAACATTGCTTCTTTCTTGACAAGCAACACAACATCAAAATTTAGGCTTCTGGAGCTGAGGTGAGTAATCTGTCAGCAGGGACACCATGACAGCCTGATGACACGACAAAGAAAGAAAGAAATGGATAAACATTAGCGACAGTCTGCTTAGGGACCTAGAGAAGGTGAATTAGGTTTCAGCTTTGCAGGGCTACAGTTAAAATGCGTTTTCTCAAGAAAATGGTAAGAGAACAATTCTTAACTAATATTTATTTATTTATTGGAGGAGGGGATAAATGAAGGTCAACAGAGATCAGACTGACCCAAATAGATACACAAACACTGCATAATTAGGACTCACTCCAGGACTAGTGGGTCACAGAGTTGAAATGAGATGCTACAGTGGTAGCCGTGATTGAATTTTCCAGTCATATGTAAACCTAGTTATTGGCTAGTTTTAGAGAAATATAATCCCTCCTATCCCAGATCCTTGTGTTTATACTATGGTTTGATCACTCACAACCTAGAGAAGTTTAGGATGAATCAGATGTAGAGTGATCTGAGCAATGTCTGCTGTCTGAAGCTGGGTATTCCTGAAAGAGTATTATCTCTATAGCCAAGAGTATACAGCTTCCCCTTGGTCTGTCAACCACAAATGGTAATTTTCACTTTTACTCTTCTCAACCTCCACAAGAATGACAATAATAATATCAGAAACAATGGTGAGTGTTAGCTGAGTGCCTACTAGGTATTAGATAGAATACTAAGTACCATTTCATGTATTAGCCAAGAAATATTTTTCAAGCACTGTGCCAGGAGCTTTGGTGAGCTAGAGGGAAATGCTCACTCATTACCTCGTTTAATACAACAAAATTCTAAGGTAGTTTTTATCATTATAATTTATAGTTGAGGAAATCAATCCTTGAGATGACAGATAGTGCAGAACTGGGTTGGAACCCAGGTTTTCTCTGACTCTATTCTTTTTAAAAATTATTATTTTTTGATTGATAAATTATAATTGTATATATTTATGGAGTACATTGTGATGTTTTGATATATGTATACAATGTGCAATGATTAAATCAAGCTAATGAACATATCCATCACCTTACTTACCTATCTTTTTTATGGAGAGACATTTGACATTTCTTCTCTAAGTTATTTTGAAATATATATTATTATTGACTATAATAATCATTCTGCTGTGTAATAGATCTCAAAATCTATTCTCCCTGTCTACTTGAAACTTTGTAACCTTTGATCAACAACTCCCCATTGCCTTCCTTCCCATCCCCTAGCCTCTGGTAATCATCATTCTACTCTCTACTTCTATGAGTTCAACTTTTTTAGAGTCCACATATAAGTGAGATCATGTAGTATTTGTCTTTCTGTGCCTGGGTTATTTTACTTAGCATAATGTCCACCAAAAAACTGTTAGAACTGATAAGGGAATTCAGTAAAATTACAGAAAATGAAATCAACATACAGAAATCAGTAGCATTTCTAATGTACTAATAATCAACTATCTGAAAAGAAAATTAAGAAAATAATCACATTTGTAATAGCAACAAAAAATTACTTATGTATAAATTTTATCAAGAAGTTAAAAGACCTGTTTACTGAAAACTATAAAACACTGATGAAAGAAAATAAAGAAGACACAAATAAATGGAATGATATCCCATGTTCATGGATTGAAAGAATTAATGTTGTAAAAATGTCCACACTACCCAAAGTGATCTACAGATTCAATGCAACCCCTATCAAAATTTCAATGTCATTTTTCACATAAATCAAAAATACAATCCTTAAGTTTGTAGGGAACCACAAAGACCCCACATAGACAAAGTGATCTTGAACAAAAGGAAGAAAGCTGGCAGCATCACACTCCTTGATTTTAAAACATATTATAAAGATATTTTAATAAAAACAACGTGGTACTGTTATAAAAACAGACACATTAACCAACAAAACAGTAAGGAAAGCCTAGAAATGAACCCATGCATTTATGGTCAATTGCTTTTTGACAGAGGTGCCAAGAGCACATAATGGGGAAAGGACAGTCTCCTCAGCAAATGATATTTAGAAAACTAGATCTCCACATGCAGAAAAATAAAATTGGACTCTTGTCTCACACCATATTAAAAAATCAACTCAAAATGGATTAAAGACTTAAATATAAGCTCTGAAGCTGTAACACTACTAAAAGAAAACATAGGGAAAAAGTTCTGTCTTAGTCTGTTTTCACGCTACTGATAAAGACATACACAAGACTAGGAAATTTATAAAGAAAAAGAGGTTTAATGGACTCACGGTTCCAATGGCTGGGGAGGCCTCACAATCATTGCAAAAGGCAAAAGGCATATCTCACACGGTGGCAGGAAAGAGAGAGAATGAGAGCCAAGCAACAGGGCTTTTGCCTTATAAAACCATCAGATCTCATGAGACTTATCCAGTACCGCGAGAACAGTATGGGGGAAACTGCCCCTATGATTCAATTATCTCCCACCAATCCCTTCCACAAAAATTATGGGAGCTACAATTCAATATGAGATTTGGGTGGGGACACAGCCAAACCATATCAAGCTCCATGACATCAGTCTGGTAATTATTCACATATGACCCTGAAAACACAAGCAACAGAAACAGACATAGACAAATCAAATTGCATCAAACTAAAAAGCTACTGTACAGCAAAAGAAACAATAAATAAAGTGAAGAGACAATCCACAGAATGGGAGAAAATATTTGCAAACCATACATCTGTTAAGGGATTCATATCCAAAATATATAAGGAAGTCAAACAACTAAAGAGAACGAAAACAAAATAACCTGATTAAAAAATGGGCAAAGGACCTGAACAGACAGTTTTCCAAAGAAGATATACAAATCATCAAGTTCATGAAAAAATGCTGAGTATCACTAATCGTTAGGGAAATGCAAATTAAACCACAATGAGATATCACCACACACCTATTAGAGTGGCTTTTATTTTTACAAAAATGAAAGATAAGTGTTGACAAGAATGCAGAGAGGGAGGATCTCCTGTGCATTGTTGGTGGGAATCTAAATTAGTATAGCCTTCATAAAAAATGGTATAGAGGTTCCTCAAAAACTAAAACTAGAACTCCCATATGATCCAGCAGTCCCATTTCCTAGTATATATCCAAAGGAACTGAAACCAATCTGGTGCAGGGATATCTGCACTTCCATGTTCACTGCAGCATTATTTACAATAGCTAAGATATGGAATCAACCTAAGTGTCCATCAATGGATGAATGGATAGAGAAAATGTGGTGTATATATCCAATGGAATAGTATTCAGCCTTAAAAAAGGAAATCCTGTCATTTGTGACAACATGGGTGAATCTGGATGACTCTACTCTTAAAAGGTAGTTTTGTGGTCTCTCAGGTACTTTTTCTTACACTTCAACCATACTGTACATGTGTTCCTAGCCTATATCAAAAGTGCAGGTCTTGTATTTCAAAGGTGTTAACTGAATATACTTATCAAAGTTATCACATGCCAGGCCCTGTGCTGAGTGCTGTATGTGCATCATAACATGTAATATCCTTTCCTACTGTATGAAATGGTAAGAGATGTAAAATACAGATCGAGAAACTGAGATGTAGGAATTTTCCTGAGTGGTGGTGGCGAGAGGTGGATCCGCACCTACCTGTCCCTGGGTCCTGACTACAATGCTCACATGACTCTGATCTCATTGAATCCTCATAACCTTAAGAGGTTAGTTCTATTTTTTTATCCTCATTTTTCATATGAATAAACTGGTCTTAGTGAAGTTAAGGTATTTGCCTAAGTTGATTAGGAGCCCAAGATCACAGAGAGAGCCGGAATTTTAACCTGATTTCCAAAACTTATGTTCTAAAACCAATTCCCTATATTGCCTTTAAGCTGCAAAAATGTATGAGTCCATATTTAAAGTATGTGTCAGGCACACTTCTAGGTATAATAAAGAATGTTACAGACAGGATTACTGCTTTCATAAAGAAGTTTTCATTATAGTTGGGGGACAGGCAACAAACAGACAAAAAAATACAAAAATATCAAGTAGTGCCATTAGAAAATAAAATGTAAAAAGGAGATAAAGGAGCCTTGGGAACCACTTAAGAGTGAGTGGCATGGGAAGATCTTGCTCAACAGTAACATTTAAGGTGATGTCTGAATGACAAGAAGGAACTGGTTAACCCAGGGCAAACTTTGGCATAAGAATGTCTACCAGGTAAAAGACACTGTAAACTTTTTAATGGGTTCCTGGGAGCCCCTCTCATTTTTGCTTTGTTTTTAATTGTCTATGGATTGTATCAACTTTATTTCCAAATAAAAACTTACAAATTCAACTTGGATTAGGATTGTCAGATTCAGTTAAATAAACGCAGACCGACAAGCAGTTAAACAAGAATTTCAGATAACAACAAATACATTTTTTACTGTATGTTCTAAATAGTACATGAGACATACTTAGACTAAAAATTATTCATTGTTTATCTAAAATTCAAATTTAACTGGGTGTCCTGTATTTTATCTGGCAACTCTAACTTGGGGAGAAGTAAATGACTATAAAATACTGTGAGTTACATTTGCAATGGTGTTTTGGACTTAAGAGTCATATGTGGATAACAATGCTTTGAAGTGTCAGCTTTTTTTCTTTTTTTCAAGGTCCCTTTAGGTTATTTTAGCTCCAGTGTAAAATTTATAGGCAGAGGAAAAATATCTGTCCACATTTTGTGAGTCCTACTGCCTTATTAATCACTGAAAAATACAAAAGCAAGCTTCATGGGGAGGAAATGGGTGATTTTTGTTTTTAAACAAAGGGATCCAAAGACCTGTGCACTATGAAGAGAATGATGCAATTAGTGAAGCGTTCTGAACAGCACTACTGGAAGTCTCTTAGCATGGAGGCCTTAAAAAGCTACTCTGAGCGCTGAAAGAGGACACTTATGCTTTAAAAAATGCTACACCATTAAAGAAAAAGCCCTTCATCCTATTTTAGTTATATACCTTAAACATCAGTCATTACAGGCATCTCAGAACTAGAGGGTCACGTTGCGGCTTTCCTTTCTTATTTCATCCTGATTTTAAATCAAGTTGTATG